CATTGAAACTGTTTCTTGACATGTCAAGATATTCAAGATCAGTCAATGATCCAAATTCGGAAGGTATACGACCCGAAAGTTGATTTCCATTCAACATCAGCTTCACCAAAGAAGTCAATCTCCCGAATTCCTTCGGAACCACCCCAACTAAATGATTTGAAGAAAGGTCGAGCACATGAATTTTGTTTGCATTGCCTATCTCAGGTGGTATGCTACCAGTAAGCTTGTTTCCTGCCATTAGTAGGGTTTTTAACTGTGGGCATTGTCCCCAGTTGTGTGAGATTTCACCATACAAGTTATTGTGGCTTACATCTATAAAATCAAGATTTGGATAAACGCCAAAGACTTCAGATACATTGCCTGTCAATTGGTTCCCTTCAAGATGGACTCTGAATAAGCTCGTGCAAGTTTTCAAGCTTCTGGGGATTGGACCAGTCAAATTGTTGTTGTGTACTGAAAAGTTTGTGAGTTGTCCACCTTGGCAAATATGTTGGGGCAAATGACCAGAAAATTGGTTAGTATCCAAGTGCAGTCTAGTCAACTTCTTAAGATTCTCTATCTCTTTGGGGATAGGGCCGGAAAGTTTGTTATCCCGTAGATGTAAGATTTCCAAATTGGTCAGGGTACCGAATGAAGCAGGAATTGAACCATTGAGTTGATTCTCGCTCAACCCTAGATCCACAATAGATTTTAAGTTACCTATCTCTTTTGGAATTGAACCAAAGAGTTGATTGTTATGCAAGTACAACAACTGTAACTTTTTTAAGTTTCCAAATTTTGGAGAGATGCCACCTGTTAAATTGTTGTAAGACAAATCTAAACCCACAAGAGATTTCAGATTCCCTAATTCTTCTGGAATTGAACTGGAGAGTTGATTTCTGTACAAGTGCAACGTCTGTAGCTTTTCTAAGTTTCCAAAGTTTTTAGGGATACAACCAGTGAAGTTGTTGTTGGATAAGAAGAGATGCACAAGAAATTCCATTTTCCCTATATCATCAGGAATAGTGCCAGAAAATTTATTTGTGTAAAGCCATAGATGGGTAAGGGTTGTCAAGTTACCTAGTGATGTCGGGATCGAACCATTGAGTTGATTCTCATACAAATAAAGCTCCACGAGAGATTTCAGGTCCCCCATCTCTTGAGGAATAGAACCAGAAAGTTCATTTTTGGACAAGCACAAGGTTGTTAGCTTTTTTAAGCTTCCAAAACTTGGAGGGATGGAACCTGTTAAACTATTGACGGACAACTTTAGATCTACAAGAGATTTTAAGTTCCCTATCTCTTTGGGAATTTCGCCAGAAAGTTTATTTTTAAAGAGATAGAGGATGGTAAGATTCCTTAGGCGACCGATTTCTGGCGGAATTCTTCCAAACAACTCATTACAAGCTAGATCAAGATAAACGAGTTTAGAGAGGTAACTGATTTGAGGTGGGATGACATCAAAGAGTTTATTCATGCTGAGGTTGAGATATTCGAGATTCGGGAAGGACAAGAATGAGAATTCATGCAACATACCTTGTATACCGGATGTGGTAAGGTTTATCTTGATGATGCTGCCTGCAGCGTTGCATGAAATACCAGTCCACGTCTTGCATGGGCTTGCATTGGCTTTTGGCTTGCGGAGAAAATTTGT